CATGGCTGTAAGAAGCAGTTACTATATGATCATGATATTACTGGTTATTTATTTATTTCTTTATTTTTTACACTAGGACATTTTCAAGCCATTAAATGGCAAAAGCTACCCTTCGAAGATTTAAAAGAAGATACGTTCGCAGTCGGAACTTGGAATTAAAATAGTTGGTCAGCATTTTCAGAAAAACATCTCCAGATGTAATGAATCTAGCAGCTTTGGGTAGCCTAAGTAGTTTTAAGTGGACGTTGTTTACCGAAATGTATAACGAACTGGAATTGTAACATGCTTTCTTTCTGATTTGTCCTATTCAATGCGAGAAAAATTATTACGTTGATTATCGCTGTTTTTTTGCCAACCAACGATCAAGTTCTGCACCAACAGTCAATAGGCTGAGTATAAGCTAACGTGTCTCACTTTTCCTCCTCACAGGAATATGTAATAAAGATTCTAATGATGTCGCCGGATCTGGATATGAAACTGATTTTCCCCAAAGGCTCTAAAGATTTGAATGGTCCACATCTTGGAAACGATCCGCCGAACCCTGGAAAGGTATATCACATGACCATCACTTAGAATTTCTTTTCAATACAGTTTTCCATCGGAAAATGACTCATTTCACCATGAGAATATTTCCGTCCATTTTCTTAGCTTTTAATTGCTCATTCGAAAAGAGCCAGAAGATATGTAGATGAAGAAACAAACTCAAAATCTTCCACAATGATATATTTTTAGAAGTTTCCAAAAAACAGCTTTAACTTTAGTTGTTAATTTATCTATAGTGACCATGAAGATTTCATCCGTTTTCCACTCTTAGATTCTCTGATGCAAAGAACTACCGGAATATCATTGCCCGAGAACATGGCATGCTCTGAGCATCAAGTATTCAAGCGGAAAGAACCAGGACTTATCACACACGTGTAGACGATGATGAAAAAGACGCGGAGCTTTGTGGTGACAACGATGGTTAAGAGTTGGAAAATCTGTTCTAACGGCGCTGGAACAACGGTGAAGAACGTTTGCAACGGAATGAAATGGATCATGCATTGGGTTTGTAAAATTTGGACAGGACTAGTGGATGGGGTCGGTTGAATTTGGAAAGGATTGATGAATTGCGTCGGTAAAATCGGGAACGGACTGAAAGGGTTGACGGAATGGGTTTTTCTTACGATGTTGTGGGCGGATGAATAGGTGTACAAGGGAAGTTTATGGTTGATTGAATGGTATTAGATTAATACTGAATGGTTAATGGAGCTAACTTGGAATAGAATGGAATGGATAGGCGATCAAACTGAATGGTTGGCCGGCGTCCCAAAGGGAAGTGCTTCGTGATTAGCTGAGAATGCATGGAGGAAATCGAAACCGTTGGCCGAGTGGGCATGGGGGAAGACGAAACGGTTAGCAAACTGGTCATGGAAAACGATTAATTAACAATTGGTTCATGCTTTAGCGTGCACTATCGAGTTATGGAGCACGCGGGAAGTTTCGAGAGCACGAAAGAAGCGTAAGAGTTGCCCGAGGCGATAGCCGAGGGCAACTCTAGCTTCTTGAGTGCTCTCCAAACTTCCCACGTGCTCCATAACTCGATAGTGCACAGCTGAAATATATTTATATATATTCCCTTAGCTCCGGTTGGAGCATAGGCCATTAACCACTTCCGTCCTCCATCGGGTTCTGTCCTGGGCAAATCTTCCTAAAGTGGCCCAAGTGTGGCCCCAGTTTCTCATTTGGGACTCTACACCTCTTCTCCAGGAGTTCCTGGGACGACCCCTCTTTCTCTTGCCCTGAGGGTTCCAACGTAGTGCCTGCCGGGTGATGTTGTTAGCCGGTTTCCTTAGGATGTGACCTATCCATCTCCACTTTCTCTTTGAGATCTGAGTTATGATTGCTGAAAGCATGAACTAATTGTTTTAGAACATAGTGAACTATAGTGGAAAGAATTTTTGATGGAGACGTGTCACTTTTTAATCAAAATGGATTTATTGAAACCTGAGGTAAGTAGTTGTCTGTAATGATTTCTGCTTTACCTAACATTTGTTAAGTATGCTTGTGTTACTTATCACTTTTTTTCAAGATGCAGAAAACGTAGACAGTCTCATTGTTGATTATAACAGTTTTTAAACCATTTTTTCCACCAAGAAAACACACGCTCGCATATATAGGGCCAAGATTTAGGCCTGCAATACACTTGTTCGCGCATGCTTATCGTAGCAACTTGTAGGTACGAACGTACGGTCACGCGAATGGACCAAATTTTCTCGGCCTAATGGTGTATGAGTGTTGTGCACGCGTTTTGCTGAAAATAAGAGCTGACTAAGAGCAATGTTATGGTCTCGACGTGCGTACAATGTAGTCGTCCGCGCCTTGAAGATCATCATACGGTCATACGCCTCCAACTGATTTTCTCGGCTTGACGGTTGATTACCGTTTTCTATAGGTATGTATCGTAGATTAAATACTGTATCCTACTGTTTTGTGCGAACATGTTGTCTTGTGTAGAGTTTCTATACATTTTTCTTGTCTGTTTCTATATATTTCTATGTGTTTCTTGTTTCTTGTTTGTTTCATCAGAGATCTTTATAATCATAATCATGTGGATTCCAGTCAGTTTCTTGTTATAATTTCGTAAAGCTTCTACATGCTATTACGAGCTATCCCAAAAGACGAACGCGTACGCGAAACACTTTTTTCTTATTAAGCTAGTTATCTGTCACGAGACACCTTCCGCTGGCTGTTGGTAGACAAAACGTGGGTGACCAAGCCTCGGTTGGTTTTGGCTTTGCATTTGATTAGTGCAGAGCCTGGCGCGAGATTTCTAAACCAATCACAGGGCGTTGTGAAGCAACTCCAGGGCGATCCTCGACGACTTTAGACATTTAACATGTTTAATAGAACATTTCTGTAAGCTGTTGAAAGTAGCCAAGAACCTTGGCGTATTTCATAACACGTCAGGTTTGCTGGTGATTCTGGGGCTAATTATGAATAAATAGAAACTGATAAAAAAGGTGACTGACAATAACAAAACGGGTTGATAATTAGCATGTCTATGGAATCTGGGTCCGTTATAAGGGCATCCCATTAGTCAACATGTTTGCAGCTTCAGTTGACAGGTGTCATAGGCGTGAAACTTCTGTTTTCGGCTAAATTATGAGTCGTAACAAACGATTTCAAGCGATAGCTGAGAGAAGAAATACACTATAACTATCAAACGAACAATATATTGCGACTCCAGTAACATCTATAGCTAAGTTGCCGAGACGAATTTCTTATTTTAAGGGGACCATCCTTAAAACATTGAAATTTAACATTAATTACACCATTATTAAGAACTGACCACCAGCGATCGCGATTGGACTATAGAACAGCTACGCGATGCGCTTTCACAATAAAGAGCTTTTGTGGTGGAGAAAAAGAGAAAAACGTCGAAAATCAACTAGCTAAATGACTGTGCTCGTATCTAACGAATCTAGGAGAATGCATTGGCTAAGTACTCTTCCCAAACATAGCATCTTTGATATCTGTTAACTACATTTACAAGGTGATTTGTACTGTTACCATTTGGAAATATTAAAGTTGCTGACTTTGCCTTATAATTTCAACAAATTATAATTTCAAAATTTTCTCCTTAAATAGCATTCTAACCGGCAGTAATTATGTAATCAATAATGACCCCCGCGTTAAAGGAAATGGAACCATTCGTGGCGAAATTTTGAATCAATTCTTCGAGGAATACTTTTCTTTGTAATACAAAAAAAAAGGTTTGAAATAGTGGTTTGTTAGGCCGAGAGTTAAACCATCAAAGAAGCGGCCAAGGTTAAGAAGGATTAAGATAATTAAGACGTATTGTAGATACATCCTGACTTCGCTCATTGAAAAATGGAGAAAAGGACAGAAAATTCGTTTTCCCGACGCGGGATGTCAGTTTTCTCGTTATCACCCCGTGATTTATATTTATCCTACTGAACTGAGGGAAATGAATGGCATTAAAAGGGATTTCTTAATTTTTTTTTTTTTAATTTAGAGCTCATCTCCATTACTGCATGCAAATAGTTTCCACCGGAGGTGAGGCGACTACGATATGGTTTATTTTCATAAACCAACACTTAACACGCTTGCAGTTACAGAGAGATGTTCCACTCTGGAATGGCTCCCAAAGCAATTGAAAATTTTCTTACAAGCGGTTCTGAATTCTTTAGAACGTATAGAATAGACCCAGGGATTGCTAGCCGAGCTAAGATAGGCCACCAAAGACACCCACATCCAAACTTCACGCTCTAGTCTCTTCAAAGCTGCCCGATCTTTAGGTTTGTCTGATCCCGATAGTCTAAACTGTATCGCTGCGGTAGCCAAACTAGGCACCCACAGAATTATAAAAAGTACAATCACAATGGCAACTGTGAAAGCGGTTTTCGTGTGGCTTACACGAGCCGGGTTATTACGACGAGTTTGTTGTCGTTCTGCTGCTAGTGAGGTTTCTTGTTTGATTTTCTGAATTTGCTGTTTAGCTTCCCTGAAAATGCTCATATAACAAAATGTTATGATAAGGGACGGAAAAATACATGTTATGACTCCCATAACGAGCCAAAGCGTTGATAATTCCTGGGGTTTATCAAGAAATAACCGAACGCTGGCGAAGACGAACGAGCCAAGCCACACAGAAGCTGTTGCCATGAGACAGAATTTGGGAGTTATGAGTGATTCGTATCTGAACCCAAATTTCACAGCGATGTAGCGATCGACGCTGATGGCTGTGAGGCCGAAAGTCGTTGCAACAACAGCTTGGATCCATACAAAGTCTTCCACTTTGTCGAATGCAGACCCTTTTAGAGGACGTTCGGGATCCAGATAGCTGAAAATGACAGCTTTCGTAGCCAAGATGGGGTTAAGCAGAATTCCCACCATAAGATCAGCGGCGGCCAATGATGCAATAAAGTAATTTGAGATGGTATGGAGAGATTTGGTGCGAAATATGGCGATCAGGACCACTGTGTTTCCAGCAATGGATAAAACACCAGAAATGCAGCTTAACACCGCGAGAAAAATGAATTCCGAAGATCCTGCAGAAATCGTAGGAGGGCAAGTTGTTTCGTTCATAATGCTGGTGAATTTTTGTGGCTGGCGAAGCAACTATTCACTGAGTTTGCTTTGAAGCTTCGGCAGCAAAAAAAAAAAAAATTAAAATTCTTAAATTCACCTGTTGTAACTGTCATTTGTTCCTGTTTAATTAATAAACCGACATAGTCATTGTTTTTCCGTTTTCTTAGATATCGATGAAGCCAATAAACAGCGGTCGGCGCAGACAGAAACTTGAAACCAAGATGAGATCGCTGGAATCTGAGCAAACAATATCATTTGCGGCAAAGTAATCAGTCTCCAAACGCCAGCAATTAAATTGTGCTTTCTAGAAAAAGGGAAAGGGGAAAAAAAGATACTGTGTTTAAGGTTTGCGGGGAATAACATAAAAATTGAAGAAAGTTCCATTTTCAATTCATCGCAGGTGTAAAATGAATATCATCAAATTTTAAATTTATTTTTGGTAGTAACAGCGAATGTGTTTAAAGAAAAATAAAACATTCATCATTTTTATTAATCTTTTCTTGCGCAAGGGAAAGAATATTTATATGAAAACAAGTTTTACACGGAGCATTTTCTTTAAAGACCGGGAACAGGCATTTATTATTAAAGTGAATGTTCTGTGTTTGTTTTTTCTGAGCGGAGATGTCTAGCTTTAAGACATCTGTTAATTGGAAATAATATCATATTTGCATGAAGACAAAAAAGACAGAAAAGACCGAAAGAAAAATGATATAAAATAGAGTTGTATAAAAACATAAGAAATATATAAGAGAAATTCATTTTTCTCAAAAAACCGACTGCTTTTAAATTTCGATGTGAGCGCTAACAACAATCAAACAATGCGCCCAAATTATTGAGTGATTTCTCAACTGGGGTTAGGTACGCGTTTAAGATATTACAAAATCTTCAAGTAATTGTCACCAACGTGTTTCACGTCAATGTAATGGAAAATAACCACTTTAGAAAATCACTTTAAAAAAATGGAAAGTACGCATCGAGTGCTCTCAAGCAAGGCAAAATCAGGAGAGAACTTTTGAACATGGAAAATAGCGCGTACTTTTTTTCCAGTCAAGTAAATTTTTTCTTCTTCAATTTGTGTGACGTATAAAATCATGCGCAAACCAATCACGTCTATAGAGAGGTCTCGAGTTTCAAAATAATGGCGAGCAGCGTGATGTTTTCTCTCCCCCTGCACTTATATGACCTACTTCGGGCTAAGTATCAATATTCAAATTTCATTTTCAAATTCAAAATAGTCTTGTGGAGCTCGCAACACGCAAAGCTAGGCCCATACCTATAAAGAAAATGTTTATTACAACTTCCGCGGTTACAAAACGAGCACTTTTCGACTGAGTGGTTAGGTGCTGAGTCATAATTATTCATGGGGAAGTGAAGGAAAAAAAATACGTAACGTAAAATAAATGAGATCACGAATGCTGAATATTGGCCAAGTTATCTTTTTTGCATTTTTACTGATGGACCGAGACGAAGTCGATGGTCAATTAAGGATTTATTATATAGCAAAAAGACTTCGCTCTATTAAGAATCAAGAATTATTGTTGTTTATTTTGAGAGACGGGAAGAAACGTCAACTGTGTTTGTAGCACAATAAACCCAAGAGAGTCGTTTATGTTTCCTTTATTTTGACTATTTTCTGCCGCTTTTAGCGACTCCATCGCCGACAGTGTCCAAAAATACAATATTTTTTTGTAAGTTCGCTCCAAGCAATTTCTTTCCTGTGCGGGACCAAAGCGGGCAATCGATCCCGAGCGGGCAATCGATCCCGAGCGGGCAATCGATCCCGAGCGGGCAATCGATCCCGAGCGGGCAAGATGGGCCCATCTTGCCCATTCGGGATTCGCTTCATATTGCCCATGGTCACTACCAGTGTAATTGCCAACTGTAATCCAACAGCTGTAGGAAAATGCCAACTGCCAGAAAACTCCACTGAAGAAAGTTCAAGCCTAATGGTGAATAACATGGGTTCCTTGATGTTACCAAGGTATCAAATGCCTTCTAGTGAAAAGAATTGGGCGGACACTGTTTTGATTAGTGCCAGGCCCTCAGCAGACATCTCCCCGACCCCTCTCAAGTCTTCTCGTTGTAAATATTAGCCTTCCTTGGAAGTGAGGTTATGCACAATGTGGAATAGTGTGTTTTTGACATCCAAGGTCCCTATTTGAAATAACGAGATTCCAGTGGTGTGCGTCATCATGAAAGCCATACCATATTCATGAAAAAAAGTAAAGGCACATTTCAAGTAATGAAGACGGGCAGCTCAGGCTTGAGTGATCCAATCACGACCACGATCGTCTTCAACCTCGTTCCCAGGGCCTTTTCCCTTAGTTGTGGTCGCGTTGCATTATCTCCTGCATATTTTTTCTCTCACAAGCGTGTCGTATGGGATTAGGTAAGAATCCAATAACATTCTGGCCTTTCAGCATATATTTAAAACACTTCCTTTGAAGAGGTTTTAAATTTAAAGATGAAAAATTACCGTATCAATCAATCAATCAATCATTTTATTTAGTAATGCAGGTTGTAAGGAAGGGGGCAGCCATAAGGCTGATGTGGACCTACAACGAACTAATAAAATGTAAAACTAAAATAATTCATAAAGTCACCCTATGGTATTTAAATATTCAATATGAATCATTGTAATAAAGTTCATTAGCAAACAAGTCACGAATTAATTCAAAAATTTACATGCAATGTAATAAAACTTAAAAATATACAAAATCTCTGTCTTTCATAGCAATCATAGGCGCTTCAAAAGAGAAGCTATTTATGTTCTGTGAGAGCTTACGTAAAATATTTTTAAAACTGTCTTTTTGAATGTTCACATTAAAATTTGCCAGCCTAGCAATAAAATTCCAGATTACAGGTCCTCTGTATTGTGCTGATTCCTTTCCCACTTTGTAGTTCACTCTAGGGATTTCAACCTGTAACCCTCCTGTACGTGATGGTCTGTTGCGTAACTTCAAATTAAAAGGGGCATATAAGATTTTATCATTTAAAACATCGTGCATCAGAAGAAGGAGTCTTCTTTTATATATGTAAGAAATTGGCAACCAATTTAACTCTTCAAGACTTTTATCCTGGTGGATAACTCGTGCAGCTCTTGCATGAATAGGGTTTAAGGATTCCATAATAGAATAATTGCAGTTTCCCCACACCAC